GAATGAGCAAAAGCACTGTCATAGTGGAGAGGGATTCTCTTGGGAAGCTTTTTGGGGTATTTTTCTGCTAAAGCCTTGGCTAACTTTCTGAAAAGTCTCATAATAAGATGTTGTCATTCATCATTCTCTGGCCTTCCAGAAAGTCTACAACCAAAATACCTGAAGCAGCCTTAAAAAATGCTTCCATGACCTTTGCTCTTAAGCAGTCTGCCTTTTCTTTGACTGGACCACTTCTCCGTCTGGGTCCCTGTTGTCTTTATTGTGCTTTGCTTTCAGGATGGGCCTGGTATAGCCAGGATTCATCTATTGGAATTCTCCAAAGAGATGTTTCAAGATCTTGATCCCCCTTGTTTAAACTTTCCTTTGAAGGCCCTCCTCTTGTCTGCGCCTGATTTGGGCTCAATTGTTTTGGTGCCCATAGAACAGAAAGCTTGCTCAATTTAAATTTTCAGCCACAATTGTATAAGCTTTTCCAATTGATCTGTCTATGGTGTTGCCTATCGTCTATACTGTTAATTGTTTTTCTTCTTCAGTTTGGGCAAACCAAGACTAATTTTTTTTCTTGCAAATTAATGTGAATGGGCTACCACTCTGGGCCTCATCTTCAGTATCAGCTTGTCCTGTGTAAGCTAGTTCTTTGAAAGCTGCTGGTTTCTTTGGGTGCATTATCCCTGTTAACTTTTCAGAAAACATCAATGATTTTCACCATCCTCTTCTACCAATGCTTCGCCACTAATTTGATGTTTGTTCTTGCTTCAGTTTTAGCAGAATTCATGTGGTTCTCATTGGGGCTCTTTTCAAAGGGATGTCTTATTCTTCTTAATGCTCCAAACTAGACTGTGTTAGGACATGCTATGACAAGTTAGTGCTAGCTTATTTTGGGTCCAAAGGTTTTAATGCATGCAAATTTTTTTTATGATAAGCATGTGCCATGAACTTTTGAAGATAAAACACACATAAAAGCACCAACTCATGGACTACATTTAGTGCAATTTTTTTTTGAACAGTGGCAAATAATGTCAAATACTCTCACACACTTTCTTATCTTCCTATACTATATATACCACTGCCTAACCAATGACGAGAGGAGGGGGAAATATCTTAATGGAAGAATCCTAGCAAATAAATGAAGATGAAATCATAAAACAGAATACACTGTTGCAACCACGAATGAATCCATAGACTTACGCAGTTTGTATCACTATCCTAAAAATCTCAGAGAGAATGATGTACCTCCGGAAAGAAGGAGCACCCACCCCCCAGGAAATAGTCTTGTCAAAAGGAAAAGGACACAGTGAGAACTGAAATCGGTACGTCTCTCAACGCAATTCCCACTTGATAGAAATTACATAGAAGGGAGGAATTGATGAGCGCAACAACACCTAATGTAGCTGCACCATCTAGAATGTGGGGAAAATATACAGAGACCGTTTTCTCAACAAATTAGAAGATACACAAGAAAAAGGCAGATATATGATCAAATGTGAAATATAATCAAATTTCTAAAATTCTTACAGAACTTAGTTCATAAAAACTAAAACACGTTGCTGCCAATTCCAACACAAAGAACCTATTGAACAGTATAGAACTGCTCCATTCATTTTATTATTTTAAAAAATCATCTT